GGGGGGGTTGGGGGCTAGCTAAGCAGGACCATAGACGATAGCTGTATTCCAAGTGATTGAATCGGAGGCTATAACTCTTCTCTGTTTTTGGGCCAAAGTCTGAACATCTTTTGCTACCAAAAAAGTTGGCACCTGCCTTGGTGCAAAGTGTTTGATCTTAGTGAAAGTACTTTAGCCAAACTATGCACTCTAGGGTTCTCCTGACAGCACGAAAAAGTTGTCTTTGTGTGTGTGTGTGTGTGTGTGTGTGTGTGTGTGTGGGGTCATGTATATATTATATCGAGAGGACGAGATGTCCCCACAGTGTGATAAAAACTCTGTTATTTTGACCTTGACATTTTTTTACAATTTTATAAAAAATCTGTGACTGCAATCAAAAAGCTAAAAATGCCTGAAGTCTCATATTTTCCTTGGTTACTTATGGTTAGGGCTGCATCTATATTCGCTTATTTCCTGCCAGTTGCCATTCTGATAATGAAAACAAAGCTGAGGTGGGACAAATTCTGCAGAATACATTGATGCCAGTATGGAGCACTGTCATGTACCCGGCTCTGAAGGACGAGAGCGTGACCAAGGGTGGTCTTTCCGTCCATTTCCAGGTGACCTGGACACCCGTCCCCAGAGGATTGGCAAGATAGAAAGAGATGTTGGACCTTATTTTCAGGTAATGTAACAAGCAAGCTAAGCTAATGCCTAAGATAGCTGGATAATCTCCCGAAGTTTGTAAGATTAATGTACAGGCTAATGCTCATGTTAGTACATCTCTCATCTCAGATCACAGATAACACAAGACGTCGCTCCAAACACTTTTCCAAGGACTGCACTGTAAGATCGTTCATCGGTCTGAACAAACTGAATGTGAATGGTAACTTTAATGTGGAAGAGGAAGAAGTGGACATTTCAAATCTGTATGTGGAAGAAAGGTGCGTTACCAGGTGTGGGACTGCTACTAGTGATTGCACTCATCAACAAATTTATCACTTATTACCTTGATTAATTGCGTGTCTTATTTGTAAAATGTGAATAAAATAATGGTCTAAGCTTATCACATTTTGGTGCAGAGCCTGAAGTGATTTCTGAACCCCCAACTATCTCTGCATGTTTCCTTTTATTGTGATCCCATCTTCTTCTGTCTCTTCTCTAACACACAATTCTGGATTCTGGATGCACTGTGTGATCATGACTATGCAGCGCAGATCCTGTCTATAGAGGAACAGCCTGATGCAGCACATAAGGAGTCTGCTCATCTGGAGGAAGAAAACCAAAGTGTGATAAGAGAGCAGCTTCATCTCCGACGCTTCCAGTGTCAGCCTCAGTTGATTACATTTTACACTGGATTTACCCTCAAAGCAGTCATCCTAGCTCCAAAACCTCCGGCAGAGTCTACAATTAGTAGTGTTGTAGTACTTGAGACCAGTCTTCCTCTTGAGACCACTCTCAAGAGCACATTTTTGCGGTCTTGGTCTCCTCTTGGAATGTATTTGATTTTTTCTCAGGCATAGAGACTTGAGGTTTCATTTCAAGACCAGTCAAGACCACTTAGCAGAAAGCCTCAATATTTAATACAACAGCTTAGAAAAACATCTGTTTGCTAACCTTTAGAACTTACAAAAGCGAAATGTGTTGATTTTCGCATGAATTAATCTGAGGCTTGTGACTTAGGATGGGTATAATGCACAAATATGAATCGCTTATCTTTGCAATCGAGATAACTTACTTGATCTGTATGTAATGAGGCATATGCACTCACCTAAAGGATTATTAGGAACACCTGTTCAATTTCTCATTAATGCAATTATCTAATCAACCAATCACATGGCAGTTGCTTCAATGC